TTATTATTATTATCATTTTAAAAACAGAAGTATTATTTGTTCTTCTTTTCCTAGCCTATGTATTGAGGCAGATTGGCATTTTATTTATGAGCTGACAACACATACCTTTTTTGCAGCTGATGTGCTTTTTGAACTGGGTTCAGCATTGTCAGAAAGTTATTCACAGAGAGTTGGTAGTGGAGGTCACTCTACCCACTTCTGTTCCCTTTCTATTTTGGTGCCATTTGCAACAAAGGAAACTGTGTAAATTAGAGAAGGATTGAAGCTCTCACACGTGCACTTCTTATCAAGTTGTGTAACGGATTAGACAGAATGGGCTCACTCTTCCTGTGGCACGTGAGACTCAAGGAAACATCCATACAAACTCCATCAGTTGGCCCTGGCCAGGAGGCTCCTGAGTAGCCATTTTCATTAATCCCCAATAGCCTGCTACCACCAGATTAGTTCAATGATTGGGTTATCTGTGGCATGTTGAAGTTCTCAGTGAATATTCCAACCTAGTGGTCAGCATTTTGTCTAGGAGGAGAATATTCCCTCACATTAAAGGACAATCCCACTTGTGCTTTAGAGAAATGTGAGGATTATAAAGGTCTTTTGAAGCTTTTGAGTACAAAAGAAGAGAAATACAAAAAAAAATCTTCACTGGGCTTTGCTGCATCTGTGTGTATGAGGTGCTTTTAATTTTCTTTTTAAACTTTAAAATATCATCAACTTGTAAAACTCCCATGCTGATCAGCAGTGGAATCATGCCTATGAATGGCCACTGCACTTTATTCTGGGCAACATAGCAAGACCCATTTCTGATACAAAAATATAATTTAAAAAAATCAGATCCTGTATGTGAAACATTTAGCACAGTAGATACTGCAGAGTACATTGCACTCACTTAATAAGAAGGGGTAACATTTAAATTATCACCCTTTCTTCCTCCATGTCCATTGTTTTAAATCTAACTCAACATGAGCACAAAACAAGATAAACCTATCACCTTTGTGGGTGAATTTTAGTTAATCAGTCTGGAAATACAGTCTTGTTACGTTACGTATGCAGACAGCGGAACTTCTCTTGGCATGACTCGAAATCCAAGTTTTCATCTATGTGATGCATATCCCCCTACCTGACAAAGACTGGGGAGCCAAATCCTTGCCCATACATTGTGCCATTGCATACATTCAAAAAGCTGTATAAGGTAATGCTTAGCCCAAGGATGAAGAAAAACATATACAGCACATTACTTGGTTATACGAACTGAGGTAGTGCAGATCTTTGACAAACAGAGTGCTAGAAGGTGTGAACTAGATGAATGAGAAAGGAATGCTTCCACCAGCTCAGGAAAAACTGCTATGAATCCAATGTATTCTTACACTCTCATTCCATGATTTTGACCCCTCTGGAGATCAGTATTTGGATAGAGAGTGGGGAAGTGTATGCATGCATGTGACTGCAAGTTGACACCGTGTGAAAAATCAGCTGATCACTGTGGTGGACAAGGCTGAAAATGTGCTGACACACCAACAAAGATGAATAATCGCCAACTCTTCAGGGGCTCTGGCTCTGAGACTTTACCTGCTGCTGCCTCTGGCTGGCAGAGGCTCACCGGCTGCCTGTTATTCTCTGGACTGGCTTGGTCAGCAGAGCACCCTGCTGCCCACACAGTGCTTCTGTCAGGGCTGTGGCCACAGACACCCACCCCTAAGCATTTCTCCCCTCCTGGCTCTGTTTCGTGGAAAATTATCTCTGCTGTCACTTGTGCACAGTGTTTTCCTTTTCCCATTAATCCTGTTTATTTGAATGCAAATAATATTTACTCACACAAGTACTCTTACTCTTCCCCTCCTTCCTTTTCTCCTCTCTCTCCCTCCCTCCCTTCCTTCCTTCTTTCCTTCCTCCTTCCCTCTTTTCCTCCCTCCTTCCCTCCCTTCCTTCCTCCCTCCTTCCCTCTTTCCCTTCCTTCCTTCTTTCCTCCCTCCCTCCCTCCCTTCCTTTCTTCCCTCGTTCCTTCTTTCTTTCCATCTTTCCTCCCCTCCTTCTTTTCTTTCTCTTATCTCCCTCCCTCTCTTTTCATTTATTTTCTTTTGGAACTCTGAAATTATAAGGTTCTAGCTATGCAGGCTGTAACAACGCATCTCCAAAAACTAACTGGTGGTGAGTGGGTGGGTGGAGGAAGTGCCATTCCTGTTACAAAAGAAGCAGAACTTCTCCCCCAAAATGTTTGTTCTTAGGCCTGGGAACTAAGAAATAGTGCAATAGATTCACCAATATTCTGCAATTTGAATTGTTCCTTTTCACCTCAAAGGCTAATGATCTTTTGTATTTTATTTTTCACTAAGTATTATACCTCCTAACTTTACAATAAAGGTGGGACGTCAATTCTAAACCTAATGCTGATGCATGTGGTGCCTCTGCATGCTGTCAAAGACACAACTGTGGTAGTGCCTATGTGGGACCGCCAGGAATGGTACATCATTAATCATTGCACCACATAATCCTCAAATAAATAATGGAGGGTGATCTCTACTAAATCATAAAGGGAAGTGTGATAGCATACACTTGTCTGGTTATTCCCTGATTCTCAGTATACAAACAGAAACTCTGTAAGATTCTTGATATTCCTCAGTTTTGCTTGGTTAAGTCCTTTAAATGGACTTCTGCTATAGGGCATTGGTATTGTAGGGCTTGATGTTACCTTCCATGACCACTAGCAGTATCTCATTGCCTTTGACCTAGTCTACACTCACTTTCCTTCCCCCCTCAAGTATTCCATCCTTCCAACCTCTTTCTTTTTCCTCTCTCTCAGTCTATTGATGACATTTTATTTATTATTTGATATATCATTAGTATAGTTCTTAGCCTTAGGTTAAATAGAAAGAAAACATACTTTAATGCAAATGTGTAATTTTTCACTTTCCGTAACTCATCCAATTATCCTATCTTCTCCTTACTCATCTCTATACAGCCTTCTTTTTAAGTTTTTAACTATATGTTGTTATACATAACCAGGTCAACTTAGATTTGGTAAATTTTAAATTCACAGTTGAGGATGGTTTTCACCCCCACCATTTATGGAATCCTTAATGTTAGGAATGAATCAGGTAACTACAGTTTTTAAGAATTATATTCTCAAGTGTCTTACAGATATTGATGTCTCTTGTTGAGGCAAAGAATGCTGATGTTTGGTCTTTGGAGATAAATAAACAGCTTGTGAATTTTAAGCTTTATATAGATGCAGCATTTGTATAGCTGTATCTCGTTAAACTGTCACAGACTGAAGTCAATGAGAGTTATGAATGAGAAACTGAAGGCCAAAGTTAGAGTTTTTTGTGATTGTTGTTTTCATAAGTGGAGTTCAATCTTAAAGTTTTAAAATGGCTTTAACACTACATTTAAAGACAACTCTCACTTAAATTGATTTTTCTTCTTAAAAAAATATATTTTTTTTCCTGAAGCCTCATCTAAATGGAATATAGCCAGATAGAGACATTTCTTCTGGTCATAGTATTTCTAGTTTTTCCAATTGAACCTGTGCAAAAAAAAAAAAATAAACTTAGTGGTTTGTTATTCCAGAATAATTATAGTACTTTTTTTTAACTTTTCCTTTTAGAAATGAACTTTCAGATTCAGCATGGACTAACTTTTTTGTTTCTATTGCTTATTCTGATAAACATTTCTCTATTCTAAATGTTATCATTTTCCTGTGATTCCATTTAGCATCCTTCTGTTTCTCAGGGGGCATCTGCTTCTGTGCTCATAGTCACCTGCCCAACAAGGCAGGGAGTTACAGACTTGACTCTAACTTGCTGCTAAAGAGCAGGACTCCAACGTGGGGTCTCATATTAAAATCTGTGACTTTAGAATGACCACACCCTCCTTGGTCTACTTTCAGGATCTTCTCTGGTCTTCAGAAATGTTCCCTTTTCCTACCATTATATCTCTGTTCCAAAAATATATCAGAAAAGTAATGTCTCCTACTGTCATACAGAAAGCTTTCTGCAACCATTTTTTCTCCACTAGATTTTATGTTATGCTTTAATCATTTATTCCACTCTTCCTCTTGTATTAAAAAGACTTTTTGTTCTAGCCTCTCCCTTCTCTCATCACGTTATTCATTCTCACTCAATATTTCTTCCTCAATCTCTCTTATTACTGCCTTAAACACACACACACACACACACACACACACACACGCACACACAAAACCGTTATCCATTTCCAGGCTCTTACATCACCTCTGCTTCTTAAAGGACCACTGCCATAGAGACTTGTGTTCTCTGAATACTTTTTTCAGTTTAAATAACTAGGAAAAAACAAAACAACAACAAAACTAAAGAAAACAAACACAATCTAGGCAGTTATCAGAAGCAAGAAAGAATATAGAGAGAAGTTGCTCCATTTATAAGTCCCACCTATGCACAGAGATTGAGAACCCTGCGTTTTTGTTTCAGTGCATATATCCTTATTGTGTTTAAGTGAACTTTTAATAGACAAGGGAATGGTTTTCACGTTTTTCATGTGAAGAGTCAATTTAATTCCACCAAGTTGGGCCCTGCTTTGGCGTACTTACTGAAAAGGACTAGTCCAGCATTGGTGACCCCTAGCCTGTTGGCAGCCACACAGGTGTAGTTGCCATAGTGCTCTTCAGTGACGTTGGTCACCGTCAGGGAAGACTGGCCCACGGTGCTCTTAATCTCAAGGCCATTGGCACTGTTTATCCTAAGAGTTCAAAAACAGAAGAATAGAAAGGAACACTGGTGATGATTTTAGCTTAGGAATTCTTTCCCTATCCTGACACTGGAGGGAAAGGAGAGAAAGGAAGTAGCTAGAGTTTGTTGTTCCATGCCCAATTCCTATGTTAATTTTGCAGTGCCATATTATAGAATCCATGTCCATCAACAGAGAAAAACAGGAAACGGGTTTGAGTTTCTGTTATAGGCAAGAAAGACATGCAGGTGAAAACTACCCATTGAACTGTTTTTATATTTTACCTGGCTGCTTTTGCGCTTCAGCTTAAGAGCTACAGCCCCCCAAAATTTGAAAGAAACATTAAAAAGGAAGATTGTAAGAATATAGTTCTATGTAATTACAACTAGCCATGCCTTACCTTTTGGTCTGGTCTTTTGGCCTGGCCTTTTGGCCTGCCCTATTGACCTGGCCTGGCCTTTTGGCCTTGCCTTTTGGTCTGGTCTGGCCTCTTGGCCTGGCCTGGCCTTTTGACCTGGCCTAGCATTGCCTTTTGGTCTGGTCTGGCCTGGTCTTGCCTTTGGCCTGGCCTGGTCGTGCCTTGCTTTTGGTCTTGCCTGGCCTTGCCTTTTTGCCTGGTCTTGTCTTGCCTTTTTGCCTGGCCTTTTTGCCTGGCCTGGTCTTTTGGCCTGGCCTGGCCTTTTGGCCTTTGCTTTTGGCTTGGCCTGGCCTTTCCTTTTGGCCTGGCCTTTTGGCCTGGTCTGGCCTCTTGGCCTGTCCTTTTGACCTGGCCTGGCCTTTTGGCCTGTCCTTTTGACCTGGCCTGGCCTTTTGGCCTGGCCTGGCATTGCGTTTTGGTCTGGTCTGGCCTGACCTTGCCTTTTGGCCTTGCCTGGTCTTGCCTTGCCTTGCCTTTTGGCCTGGGCTTTTGGCCTGGCCTGGCCTTTTGACCTTTGCTTTTGGCCTGGTCTTTTTGCCTGTCCTTGCCTTTTGGTCTGGCCTTGTCTTGCCTTTTTGCCTGGCCTTTTTGCCTTGCCTTTTGGCCTTGAGTTTTGACCTGGTCTGGCCTTGCCTTGCCTTTTGGCCTGGCATGGCCTGGCGTTCTGGCATGGCCTTTTGGCCTGGCATTTTGGCCTACCCTTTTGGCCTGTCCTGACCTTTTGGCTTTGCCTTTTGTCCTGGCCTTTTCACCTTGCCTTTGCCTGGCCTGGCCTAGACTTGCCTTGCCTTTTGGCCTGACCTTGCCTTGCTTTTTGCTCTAGCCTTTTGGCCTGGCCTTTTGGCTTGGCCTGGCCTGGCCTTTTGGCCTGGTCTTTTGTCCTGACCAAGCCTGGTCTTGCCTTTTGGCTTGGCCTGGCCTTGCCTTTTTGCCGTGCGTTTTTGCCTGGCCTTTTGGCCTGGGCTGGCATTGCCTTGCTTTTTGGTCTGGCCTGGTCTTACCTTTTCACGTGGCCTGGCCTGGCCTTTTTGGCTGGCCTTTTGGCCTTGACTGGACTTTGGCATGGCATTTTGGCCTGCTGTTTTTGCCTGGGCTGGTATTTTGGCCTGGCCTTTTCCCTTGCCTTTTGGTCCAGCCTGGCCTTGCCTGTTGGCCTGGTCTGGCCTTTTGACCTGGCCTGGTCTTGCGTTGCCTTTTGGCCTGGACTTGCCTTTTTGTCTGGCCTTTTGTACTTGCCTTTTGGCCTGGTATTTTGGCCTGGTCTGGGCTTTGGGCCTGGCCTTTTGGCCTGGCCTTTTGGCTTGGCCTGGCCTTTTGGCCTGGCATGGCGTTGCTTTGCCTTTTGGCCTGGCCTGTCCTTACCTTTGGGCCTAGCTTTGCCTTGTCTTTTTGCCTGGCCTTTTGGCCTTGCCTTTTTGCCTTTTCTGGCCTGGCCTTGCCTTTTGACCGGGCCTTTTGGCCTGGCCTGATCTTGCCTTACCTTTTGGCCTGGGCTGTCCTTGCTTGGCCTTTTGGCCTGGGCTGGCCTGGTCTTGCCTTTTGGTCTGGTCTGGCCTTACCTTTGGGCCTGGCTTTGCCTTGCCTTTTTGCCTGGCCTTTTGGCCTTGCTTTTTGGCCTGGTCTGGCCTGGCCTGGCCTTTTGGCCTTGCCTTTTGGCCTGGCCTGGCTTTGCCTTGTCGTTTGACCTGGACTGTCCTTGCTTGGCCTTTTGGCTTGGAATGGCTTGGCCTGGTCTTTTGGCCTGGACTTGCGTGTTGGCCTGCCCTTTTGGTCTGGCCTGGCCTTTAGGCCCTGCCTTTTGGCCTGGTCTGGCCTTGCCTTGTCATTTGGCCTGGTCTGGCCTGTCCTTGCCTTTTGGTCTGGACTTGCCTTGCCTTTTACCCTGGGCTTTTGGCCTGGTCTTGCCTGTTGGCCTGGCCTTTTGGCTTTGCCTTTTGGCCTAGCCTGACCTTGCCTTTTTGCCTGGCCTTTTGGCCTGGTTTTTGGCCTGACCTTGCCTTGCCTTTTTGCCTGGCCTTTTGGCCTTGCCTTTTTGCCTAGCCTGGTCTTGCCTTTTTGCCTGGCCTTTTGGCCTTGCCTTTTTGCCTGGTCTGGACTTTTGGCCTGGTCCTTTGGTCTGACCTGGCCTTGCCTTGCCTTTTGGCCTGGTCTGGCCTTGCCTTGCCTTTTGGTCTGGACTGACCTTGCCTTTTTGCCTGGTGTTTTGGCCTTGCCTTTTATTCTAGTCTTTTGGCCCAGCCTGGCCTTTTCACCTTGCCTTTTGGCCTGGTCTCTTGGCCTGGTCTGGGCTTTGTGCCTTGACTTTAGGCCTGACCATTTGTCCTGACCTGGCCTTTTGTCCTGGCCTTTTGGCTTGGCCTGGCCTTTTGGTCTTGTCTTTTGGCCTGGCCTTTGGCCTGGCCTGGTCTCTTGTCCCAGCTTTTTGGCCTGGCCTGGACTTTTGGCCTGGCTTTTCCTTTTGGACTGGCCTTTTGGCCTTGTCTTTTGGCCTGGCTTTTTGGCCTGGTCTGACCTGGCCTTGCATTTTGGCTTGGCATTTTGACCTGGCCTTTTGGCCTTATCTTTTGGTCTGGCCTTTTGGCCTGGCCTGACCTTGCCTTGCCTTTTGGCCTGGCCTTTTGTCCCGGCCTTTTAGCTTTTCCTTTTGGCCTAGCCTGGTCTTGCCTTTTTGCCTGGACTTTTGGCCTGGCCTTGCCTTGCCTTTTTGCCTGGCCTTTTGGCCTTGCCTTTTGGCCTGGTGTGGGCTTTGGGACTGGCCTTTTGGCCTGGCCTAGCTTTTTCTTGCCTTTTAGCCTGGCTGGGCCTTGCCTTTTGGCCTGGCCTTTCCTTTTGGCCTGACCTGGCCTTTTGGCCTGACCTTTTGCCATGGCCTGGCCTCTTGTCCCGGCCTTTTGGCCTGGGCTTTTGTCCTGGCCTGGCCTTTTGGACTTGCCTGGTGTTTTGTCCTGGCCTTTTGTCGTGGCCCTGCCTTTTGGCCTGGGTTTTTGTGCTAGCCTGACCTTTTGGCCTGGACTGGCCTTTTGGCCTGGCTTTTTGGTCTGGCCTAGCCTTTTGGCCTGGCTTGCCCTTGCCTTTTGGTCTGGACTGACCTGGTCTTGCCTTTTTTCCTGGTCTTGCCTTGCCTTTTTGCCTGGCCTTTTTGCCTGGCCTTTTGGTCTGGCCTTTTGTCCTGGCCTGGCCTTTTGTCCTTGCCTTTTGACCTGGCCTGGCCTCTTGACCTGGTCTGGCCTTTTGGCCTGGCGTTTTGGTCAGGAGATGGACATTTCTGGAAAGGTATCTGTCCTTGGCAGGGGCACAGGCAGGCAGTAACATGAAATAGAAAGCCAGAGTGTCAGGAGGCACTTGGGAAACCTTGTGACAAGCAGGGTTAGTGAAGAAAAACAGAAAACCAAAACCTCCAGCCCTCATCATCTACCAAGGTGGTCATCCATCCAAGCCCCAAGCAGACCAGACCTGTGTTGCTTCCACACTACAGTGCCCTAGGGCTACTATGGTTCCTGGGGGCTGCTGACACAAATCCTCCAGAAGTCCTGGGTTGCAGTAGGGACTTAGGCAAAATGGGAAAGAGGGGACAGAGATCGGTGGCAGTTGGGAGCATTAAGACAATTGGGGGAAAGCTTGAATAAGGTGAAAAGGCAAAAGACTCAAGCCCCTTGTCTTTATAGGCAGTCTCCCATCCAAGCCCCAGCCAGACCAGACCCTGCTTAGCTTCTAGGCTCTGGCATCCTAGGGCTGTTATGGATCCTGGGGCTACAAAGACAAACCCACACAGGGAGGTCGTGGGCCTCGGAAAAGGTGAAGTCAAGTTGGAAACGGGAAACGGAGAGTCAGGGGGCAGTTGGGAAGCATTAAGACAAGTGATGCAAAGCTTGAAGAAGGCTAAAAGGCAAAAGCCTGAAGTCCCCAGTCTTTCCAGGCAGTCCCTTATCCAAGACTGCCAGTCCTGACCCTGCTTAGCTTGCAGGACGCTGCACGCCAGCATTGTCGCCGCAGCCTAGGCCCTCTTTGTAGTTGTTTGTCCTGGCAGACTCCGTGAGCCGTAGCAGCCTGAGGATGCCTGGGCCTGGAAGCTAAGCAGGATCCAGCTTGAATGAGGCTTGGATGGGGGACTACCTAGGGAGACCAGGGATGGAGGCTCTTTTTCCACTTTCCCCAGCTTGTCACAATACTTCTTAACCACCCTCCAATTCTCTGGACACCATTAACTGCCCACCTGCACCCCCAATGCAGACTGCGATCTCCCTGTGTGGGTCTGTCCCAGCTAACCCCAATTGGCATAGCTGTCTGATGGCACCCCATCATGAAAGTTGAGCAGGGCAGGGCATGGCTTGGGCTTAGGTAACGGACCATCCGGGGAGTCTGGTGGCTGGAGTCTTTTGCCCTCCTGCTCACTTCCCACTTTTCCTTTGTTTTTGTCACCCTTTTGCACCCCCCTTTTGTGCTTTTGCCCTTGTTTTTTTGCTTGCTTGCCCCTTGCTTCGGCTTGGGCTTTTCTGTTCGTTTTTTTTTTTGGCGGCTTTCGTTTGCCTTGGCGGCTTGGGGTTGTTGCGCTTGGAGGTTAGGCGGGTTCGGGCTTGGTTGGCCTTTGGTTGGGGGCTTTTTTGGAAGGCTGGGGTTTGGGGCTTTTTGGTTTCTTGTTTTTTTTTGTTTTCCCCCTTTTTTCCATTGTTTTTCACTTGCCCCTTGCTTTTCGGTTTGTATGGTGTTTGAGGGCTTCCTAGACAGACCAGGACCACTGTGGGGACAAAGGCATGTGGGAGACAGGCCAGGAAGCAATGAGTGGTTGGGAAGCATTGCAGTAAGTGGGGAATTGTGGAGATGCAGCTGGAAGCCAAAAGCCTCCGGCGCCCGGTCTCCCCAGGTGGTCCATCATACAAGCTGCAGCAAGGTCTGACCCTGCTTAGCTTCTGGTCTGGGGAGCTCTCTGTCTCCTATGGCACCCAGTAGCTGCAGAAATGGACCCATGTGGAAGTCCTGGGCCACATTGGGGGTTTATGTGGACAAAAAAAAAGGTCTAGAGAGTCAGGGTCAGTTGGGAAGCACTGTGACAAGCTGAAAAAGTGGGAACAGAGTGGGAAGCCAAAAGCTTTCTGGCACTTATCTCCCCAGGCCTTCCATCATCCAAGTCCCAGCTAGTCCAAATCCCACTTAGCTGTGAGCTGGGGTGACATCAGGTTGCTACTGTGCCTCATAACCGCCATGACAAACCCCCATTGGGGACATCCCTGGTTGCAGCGGTGGTGGGGGGGCGGGGCAGATGGTCTGGAAAAGAAGGAGCAGAGAGCAGGTGTTTGGGAAGCATTGTGACAAGCAGAACAACTGGGAGGAATCAGGAAGCCAAAAGCCTCTAGACCACAGTCTGCCCAAGCAGTCCCCTATTCAAGCCCCAGTGAGGCCCAACCCTGCTTAGATTTTAGGCTGCAGCATCCTCAGTCTTCTGTGGTGCACAAGGGCTGCTAGTAATAACACCCTTGATGATGCTCCAGGACGTGGCAGAGGCACAGGTGTGCTGGAGTGGGGAAGGGAAATCTAGTGTCAGGGGGTGGTTAGAAAGCTTTGCCACAAGCAGAAAAATCGGAAAGGGAACTGGAAGCCAAACGCCTCCAGCCCCCATCAACAAAGGCAGTCCCCCATTCAAGCACAAGCAAGGTCCAATCCTATTTAGCATTCGGGCTGAGGTGTCCCCAGGTTGCAATGGCATTCAGTGACTTCAGAGAAAGACCCCTTCAGGGAGGTCCTGGGCCATGGCAGGGGTGCAGCCAGGTGAAGAAAGGCTGGCCAGAGTTGGGGGTGGTTGGTAAGTGTTGTGACAATTGGGGTAAAGATGGAATGGGGCAAGAAGCCAAAAGCCTCCAGCCCCTTTTCCATGCAGAGGGTTCCCTATCCAAGCCCAAGCCAGGACCGATCTGGCTTAGCTTCTGGGCTGGGGTGCCTTCAGGGTGCTATGGCACAGGTCTGCCGAGACGAACTTTTATGGGGAGATCCTAGGCAAAGATGGCCTTGCAGGCTGATGGAAATGAGGAAGCCAGGGTCAGAGGGCAGTTGGGAAGTGTTGTAAAAAGAAGAAGA